TGGAATGCGCACTGCTGACGATTCCCGAAAGGATGAAATGCGCGTACAGTGCTTTTCCGGGCGTGTGGCGGCTGTCTGAGTGAGTCTAGATGTGACGAATTTCTACCTATACCATTCAACTCCCCCGACTTCTCCCTTGTAATAACCCCAATAAGCATAAGCAACGAGCGCAAGGTAATAGAAGATTTTTCAGATAGGCAGAACCAATATATTAAAGGGAAACGAAATTTATTCACCCTTAAAAGGCCTAATTTAAGTGTAAATTGGTTTAGCCCAACTGCGGTGAAGAAGCATCGTGATTCCAACATCGGCCTCAGCATGGGGCACATGCTTATACATGGTTGACGGCATCCGGTTTCGGATTTGCCTGTCACTGTGGCCAGCCACAGGACACCTGCGCCTACAGAGGGACCACGGGTGGCTTGCGCTGCACCACCCACAGCTCCAACCACACACCCCATATCCAGTGTAAACCCGAAGGAATAAGACCGGGAGGCATGTGGATGGGAGCCACGTTTCATCAACGGAGCCGGCCCACACTCCTTCACGGGCAAACACAAGCACGCTGTATTTGGGAAATCAAGCGCACACAAGGCGGTGGCTGGACCGTAGTCCGCTCCACACTGAGTGCATGGAACCACTCTTCGAGCCTAGCAAGGCCACAAGGACCGTGCACTCTGTCCCCTCCAGCAATGACCAACTGTCTCCTGGAGCCAGTATGGACGAAGTAGTGGGTAATAGACAGGTAGGCACCTTGTCAACATGCACATCAAGCGCAGCCACACCGGGGATATCAAGCATCAGCCAATCACCTGGAACGACAAGATGAAATAAAACAAATCCAATAATGCATACAGATATGGTGGTATAACTTCGCTAAATTAGCATATGATGTAAGTTGGTTAGCAACAAATCCGCGATAAGGAAAAATGTCAACAAGTTAGATAAAATGCTACAAAACGCAACAAGGTTACCGAAGATAAGCGCAATTATTGTAAGCAACGTGGCCAGTTAATTGGCGAGTATTCAGGTAGGCAGAACAAATCAAATAAAGTGGAGTGAGATTTAGCCAGCTTAAAAAGACCTAGTTTAAGTGTAAGTTGATTTAGCCCAACTGCGGTGAAGAAGCATTAAGAATGCAACATCAGCCTCAGCATGGGGCACATGCTACACATACAGCCATAAATAACTACTCATGACTTCAATCGTCACCCCACCGTAGTCTTTGCTGTGCTTTTTAAAAGCGAGCTAATCAGTAATTTTCAGTCTCCGACAGCGTTTTAATCGGTGCAGTTCTGCACCTTGAAAGTGCTAAGCGCATGTCAAAGCGTGCATCTCTCTATCTCAACATATTCAGCAACGCTTGCGCACCAGCTGAATCCACCCTTAAAAAAAGGATATCGTCCTCCGCACTGAGCACAACATACACTGCAGATTAATTCCAAAATACACCGAGAAACAGACGGCTTGGAAAACTTTAACACCCACCGCGTTTCAGCTTAAGCTCGAGCACACCCACGTACAGCCCCGGAAATTGCGGTTGTAGGTGTGGCGAACTCGAGCTTCAAAATCTGCATGGTTCATCGGGCTCTACACATGAAGACGGCATAATTTTTCAGTTTCTCTTTGAGGAACTTGAGTTTGCCGAGTCTAACTTGTTTCAGTGTTGGCTCTTTTCTTTCTGCATCGATAACTACGGTATCTTGCGGTACATCTTCAGTGGCCAAGCGCTTGTCCGTTTTCGTCCGGCTTGCTTGTTTTGCCATGCTGTGTATATATACAAACATCTGATAGAAAAGCAATATCTCAGGTAGCCGAGCTGAAAATGATATTTACGTCAGGAGAAATTACAGCAGCTAGAGTAGTGTTTTGATCTCATCAACGAACTCTACCGGGGTATAGACCAACCCGGCTTTCACTGCTTCGATCGTCGCATGAGCCACTAAATCTCCTGATCGAGTTATTCCGAGGCCAATACGTTAATGGTCTTCACACAACCCTTCTCTCCTGTTTACTTATGGAGCCACTGTTCTGTGGATGCTTATATTTTGGTGGAACTTCTGTTTCGCACAGTGGTTAACCTGTTCTCAAATGCGTCTCCGCAGGGTTTCAGCAATGAGTAGCAAGGGTTATCTTAGCCAAAAACCCCGATTCAGCGACACTAAGTCGCCTCGGATCGTAGAACCGAAATCTCGTTAGCCCACGTAGGTTCATCTATCCTGACGTTGGAGTCATACGTGGCTTTTGATGCCGTTGATCTTCCGACCTGTTTTATCACAGGCTTCGCAGTTCCTCGCTGTGTTAGGATTGCGACATGCAATCATAAATTAGACTTTGACTTAGTTGCAACTGAACTTCTGTTAGTTTCTATACCACGATTAATCCAGATGAAAACAACATGTCATCATTCGAACGTAAATAAGGTTCTGAAAAAACCTATGTTAATTCTCAACCACCCTGACACTTTTTCTTCTTAGAGTTGTGTCCTAGTGATAACATGTCAGTCATTACACGTCGCGTTCCACTCCTAGCTACACCATCCAGTTGAATAGTCCGAGTAACATTGGTCGTAGAATACAGTGGTTGAAGCTGGCAACACCGAACATTATCGTTTTCATGTATGCCCCCCCCCCCGGAGGCAGAGTTGGTTGGCCTTTACTTCATAGTTACTCGTGGCCCATATGGGAATTCCTAACCACTGCGACAATCATTCAAGGAACCTGGCTGCCACTCTCTGAAAAACCATAATGGTCCGAATTACTTACCTAACCCAACGTTAAGTTTCGGATGCACACTCACCAAAAACATATCCACCTCGTGATGCTTATTTGTGCAATGGTTTCGATCCCTAGCCGCGTGAGCGACGTGGTCTGTTCTACCGTTGACGGTCACTTCTATCGCTAAGGTGACTTGCCTCTCCTGAATCACCTACCTCAATCTCTGTCTACCAATGCTCCCTGAACAATTTTCAATACTCTTTCCTTCTTTTAATGCAGTGCTTCTCATCCCTGGGTAATTACCTCCAAGGGAGTAACATGGAATTTTACGGGGTGGGGTGGGGGTAAATATAAGTATAAGGTCATCAACCTGTAGCCAATGAAAATTAATGACAAGATCCTCTGTATCAAAACATATAATTAACCCCTTAGTCTATATTGATTAGCCATCAGTGATTAAACATCAGTGAGTGGTCAGTGAATTAAACAATTTCAAGTAATAAATTTTATTACCTAAAATATGATTACAAGCCTTCAAAACAGCCCAGCTACATAGCACTTCTATCGGCTCCTTCGTCGATTGTTATTCCTTTGAGTCTTTCCCCCAGTTGAATTTCAGAGTTAACTGAACACTAACATAGGAACATAGATCAGCTGGCCACGTAGAGGAGCAAGCACATGTTGACTAGGTAGAATTGACAAAACAGACGATTGATGTACTGGACACAGAGTGGTGGTGGGTAGCTGTCATCCTAAAAGGATTTGAAAGAGATGGTCGAAAAAATGAGGAGCTTCTAACATCTGTACATGTTTGATCAGGGATCACACACCAAAGCAAGCAACCGAATGAACTTGGAGCACGACTTGCGGTGTGCATTAGCTGAAACCGCACTAAAAATATCATAAATTGTTAGAACTAAGCAATATCAACCGTCTCGTTGATGTATATCGCCACTTGATTTGATAAAACGTTGCTCAAAATGTTTTCTTTACTTGTATGATAGATAGTAATTATAACTAGTATTCATCTCCATAATTTGAAGCAAAAATGCAACAATTACTAGGTAATTAGATCTTTAAACTAAAATTTTTAAGGGGTGATTGCTTATAGTGAAACGGCTTTGTAGTTAAGAACCTCAAAGATGTTGTGAACTACTGTGTTAATATGAACTAGGAACCCAGCACCACTAGGTGCATTTAAACCATAGCTCAAATTTTATTGAGGAAACAGGAAAAGTCGCATATAAAATCAAGATAAGCTTTATATGCCTGGGTAGGAACATTTTCGGCAATTTACACAAACACTGCGGACACACTATTACATGAAATCGGTGGGAACATGATGCGAAATGACATAAACAACAAAATTTGTTCATTTTCAAGCAAGCAAACCTCGCAATTGTTGCATCACTTTTAGGTCGGCTAACAAACGGGATAGTTTGGGCAAGATGGTGTTTCAATGCATGGAGATACTGAAAAATTCCAACCGCATGAAAGAATTGGATGCCGTTCTTAACCACTATGTAGGGGGTGAGAGTGCTTGTTTAGAATCTTGGTTGAATAGTTAAGGCATGCGTCAAAATGCTTGCTAACCGTAAACTCATCAAAGGGTTCTTTGCCAAATTCAGCGCATCGGAAATTAAATTTGTGTGAACGCGCAAGAAGAGTATACTCCTTTTGAAGAAGTCCGGGGGAAATAGCAGGGAAGGATACATGCATGTACAAACCTTAGAATTGTGGCACGCAGTACGAAGAGCATTTTTGAGCCAGATGGTGTAATATAACTGACTTTCTGAAAAGTTTCAAGATTATGTGTCGGTCAGGATGAATTATATGACATAAAACACCTATGTATTTCACGGAATATCAATGAGGAATGCTTTGGTCACTCACGATCAAGCGGGTAAAGATATTTAAAATTGTACTCAATCTATCGGCGCAGAGCAAAGAGAATGGAAGATCACAACACTTAAAAGGGTTAAAGTAGAGGGACCGGGAGCCTGACCAACTCCTGGGTTCATCTAATCCTCGGTGGAGTTTCTAGGATTCCTCAGTTAACTATCGTGAAAAGTATGACAATTAAGTGTCTGTATGAATTGTTGCAGTTGAATTGAACTAAATCTGTTTGACCCGGCTATCCAATGCTGCACGTCACATCCGATATCATTCTCAGCACTGAACGCTCCGCTCTTCTGGTCTAATTTGTGCGTTTTAACTTCCGTTCCAATCCGTTTCCCTCGATTTTGACAACTGCATCACTTTCTGTTTGTTCTCCTATTTTAGGGTATACACCCCTTCAGTCAAATTCTTCTAGACAGTTTCAGCACTGTCAGCAAACAGGTCAGTGGCCTCGCTGGCCCTCCAGTTCGACTGCTGGGTGATTTGTTCACCGATAGCTTGGCTCCGGACTACTGGCAACGCAACACTACCATCCGATCTTGCGCCCTATGTAAATTCGAGTTTCCTGATCCCTCTGTCGACGGCATCGACTATAATAACCTACAACGAAGATCACCTCCACTTGTGGAGCCCGCAGGCGAACATCGGTCTTCTCAACAGGACATACCCGACACCGCCCGAAGAAAATCCGGCAAGCTCGCGCGAGGCACTGTACTCTTACCTCGAACCTCATCGTTAACGCCGCCATCCACTGAAGAGAGCCAGTTGGAGAATGCTCCTCGGCAAAAAGCTTTGTCCATTCCAAATGACGCCACCGTTGACCTACTCAAGCATCACTGTCGCGCCTGCGGACGTGGAATCTGTGGTGCTTGTTCCACGGGACGATTACCAGTTGCTGGTTTTGGCCCATGCCCCGTGCGCGTTTGTGATGAGTGCGTCTTGTTGCTAGTTTTCCCTCAGGGTTGTGCTATTTCCTGACTTATGGCCTCGCTTATGTGGCTGCAAATCCTCCTTCTTTTGTTTGAAACACCACTCTGATTCATGATGATGTAGTCTGCGTATATGTCCGTGAAGACGCCGGCCCGTAGCCTTAAGGATCACAACCTGCCTTGTAATCCGAGGGCGTAGGTTCGAGACTCCCTAGGGATCGGGCGACCCTCGCAGTATCCTTAGCCCTTCTGCGACTGGTGGTGGTTGCGCGGCAGCGAAGCGTCGGTACTGCGTCCCGGCGTACTGCTGATACCTGTTTCCGTACAGACATTGGTTCTAAAGGCGCTTGTTGTATTGTTTGCACATCTTCTAAAACGTGTAGTTCCTTTGGCATTTCTCCGTTAGACAAGCAAACCTCATTTCGAATTTTTCACTCTGATCCCAGCACTAAAGCATGTTACGCTCCGTTATCTTTTACTTGTACCGACTTAATGACAAAAGTTAGCAATACTGAAGGGATATTGCGTAGGGAAACATAAAACTTCGTGGAATTCGCTTGAACTACGTCCAAGAATTTACAGAATTGGAGGCGCGGGGCCTTCTGACTTTCCCGCTTAAACTCACCGGGAATAGTAGCCAACCGCGTAGGTGAACCAAGCGGACACGTACGAGAAAGTTGCATTTACTTACTATGTTGGAGTCATCCAATGACTTCCTACACATATCCTTTCCGTATTCTACTATCAAACAGATAACAGCGCAATACATACACTAAACAAGTAGTCCGACTAATTGGTGGACGGCAAACATGTACTGATGTCCGTTGCGTTTTCTGTTCCCAGATAAACGCAGGATGGGTCTCGTCTAGAAAGCGAGATTGACCAACCGTGCCCAGTTTAGTCGTCACTACCATCATGTCTTGCTGCCAAGTTGATGGTCTATCCTTTGGACCCTACTCTTCATTTCCTGGAACCTATTTGTTGAAAGAGTTAACAGTAATTGCTCATCGAATCCTTGAACCCCCTCTAGATTTTCTGTCACCTTCAAACTCCCTTTTACTTCACACCCAACTAACTGTCTGACCCCATTGTTCCCGGTGCCAATATCGATTGTTTTCCATTCCGACAGGTTCAACAAACTTGAGCGACTCCTGTGTCTAGTGCAGCAACGACCGGTAAAGCCACCGACACAACCTTCTGCATCATGCATGTCAGTATGAATTTCGATCCATCGAGCCTCACGCTTGGTTGCGAAACTGTGAACTGTTAGGTGTGGTAGACCTAAGCAGCTTCTCGGTAACGTATTAGGGCTTGCTCAGGGTTTGGATGCCAGTTTTTGAGCCAACACCAATTCAGACTGGAGCACACACTGGCTAACCGTCAGAGTTAGACCCGCTGCTCAATAGCATACCAATTTTGCAGAAGTACCCAGCTTCGGCAATGGCAAACGCGAGCAATCTGCATGTGTTGTGTTTTTGTACCTTAGTCTTACTCGATGTCAAGAGGCGCCTACGCACAGATGGCTATCCACGACAGTGCAGCATAGCAGCGGTGATCCATCCATGGAGTGGAGTACTAGACCGACTCCATCTTGCGTCGACAATTTCGGGTGCATGCAACCAATGGAAGTAACCTAGATGCAGTTAACGTCTTGAAATCCTCTTTGGAGCCGATTGAGCATTCATAATTTCTGACATTTTTGAAACCAGTCAGCAAATTTATGTGCAACCTTGGGTTTATTTATGTAAAAGCGGGCCTTCGGATGATCCGAGTGGCATTTACCACGAGCTAAGATAACCACTGTAAGAGGGTTGTCGCAATACTGGTCAAATCATCATGTCACTCAGTACATTAAAAGTAGGGAGTACCGAAGTGGTTCACATCCCGTCGTCATCACACGTATGCCCATGTCAGCGATGAGCGCAATGGGTGATTTGATCCTTGCTGTCCACCCCGGGTCCGTCCGCTGACGCTGCTCAGAGTAGCTGGGCTACCACTGCTCACCACACATTCGACAGTTCCACCCTGTCTATTCTCATCGCACAACTAGTAGCTTGTGCGATTTCCACCGCCTCAGACCCACATCCACAGTGTATATTGAGATGGTTTCAACCCCTTAGAAGAATGGGGCTTCAGAGGCCATCCGGAGGGTCCTAAACAAAAGCAAATAAGGGTGATTTTTCAAAACTGTCAAATGTCCCTTTCGACGCTGGTACCTTTGAATGACTTAGTTTTCGCAGATAGGGTGATTAATTGAGTCTTTAATATTCGGTTGCAAAGAGTGCATGTATGTACCTTGACCAGACCGCGAGAGAGCTGCGGAACAAGTCTCAAAGCAAGTATCTACAGAATGATTCGATATTAGCGGTGCACATGACATCACGACGTGAACTCGACTTGGATAATGTGCTGCTTAGGAGAGGGTGCGATCAACGCCACAGAGGTAGTTTTCTGAGACGTTGGCAATTGCCAAAGTCTACAGCTGTGTGGAAATATGAACCAATTCTCCTTCTCTTTTTTCGTATTAGACGAAATAACTTACTAGGCATATCAGTCTTAGCGAGGATCGTGGGCTCCAAAAGGAAACGAATGAACTGACGTTTGCTTAATCGAACATGGACTTGTCGAATGGGCTGGAGCGACGCCATGCGATTGCATGTGAGTCGCAACTAGACGATAAGCGACCATTGAAGCAAAATGGGAGGGGCCAAGAATTTTGGGGTTGAAAACTGGGCGTAAAAGTATAATTGGTACGGGACGATGGGCTGAAAAAGCGCGAAAGTTGGAATGGGAGCATGAGAAGGCCTGTGCATATCCACCCTACTCGATGCAGCAGATAGGAAGTCCTGGATTATCCTCTGCGACGGCTCGAGCATTGATAAATCATATGGAGAGAAGCTCATGGAACTGCTTTGCGTGCGCGGGTTACTATCAGGTTGCCCAGGTTTATTATTCTCAACCGAAGCCTTTGGTTCAAAAACCTGACTGCAAGGCAGCGGATTTGACAGGGACTACAGAGTGTCCGTTTTATGGGCTAAGGAGCCACTCTTACCCCAACCTAGAAGGTCAAAAGACCCAGTTGGTCTTGTCTCTAACCGCTGACCCATCTGGCATATGTGACTCTGAAGGTTCAAACGACATGCAAACCATCATACCATCTTGAAGCCCAGTCTCATCGCGATTTAAGTGATGGATCAATCCAAGTTATTTTGCACAAGTGGCCTTATTGTACTGGACATTACACCATCTTTCACAGCTTCGTACCATTCAACCACAGAAGAACGCTGGTACGCACCTTAACTGAATTTGCATACAAAATCTGCAGTGAAGACGCTGATGATGACGAACTCAAACGAATCAAAAACACACTTCTTGAGAACATCTTTCCAGAGCCCTTCACCGATATGAGGCAAAAAATCCGAAAATACTAATGCAAGTAGTTTCAAAGAAGCAGCTGTGTCTGACTCTCCATTTAAAAGGAAACAATGCTGCTGAAATCCGCACACGTAAACTAATGAAAGTATGCACGAGGACTTTTACGGCGGCCCACATGAATGTGGTGTTTACGGGCAAGCCACTAATTGTTCCTTGATTCATAAATCAGAAGCCTGATCATCTCCAATGAAACGAATAGAAACCAAGATCACTGCTATGTTTATTATTGTATAAGACTGACAAAGAAGTAATGGAAAACCATTGTTCGATTTTAGAGTACCGCCTTTGTTATTCTCTCTGGGCTCAACGATATATGAGCATCTTACGGGACTTACATTCGTGGTTATACACCATTTTCAAACCAATTGGGATGATTTTCCAATCAGCTAGGATGTTTTCCAATCAAGCAATGTTTTTTGCGCAGAACATCCTTAGTTTATTTGCAACTTCGAATTCACCATCATGTCGAGGACATAATTAATCTATTTAAACTGCGTTTTGAGGTCGGAACTGGGGTGCCTCTAATTGCCAATACGATCTCCGGCAACGGCTTGAGTTCACCCTGACCCACCTTGTGACCAAGCAATGTCACGGACATTTTCCCGATTTGAGGTTTAGGTCCATTTATCCGCAATCCCGACTGCTGACTGTTTTGCAATGTTGCTTCCGAACGACAGTGGTGTTCCATTTCCAACTCACCACATACTACAATGTCGTCTCCATACACGACCACATACTCCAATTCGTCGAGCAGGGGCAGCATCAAACGCTAGGAAGTGACTGGGGCACCAGACAATCTAAATGGCATCCCTTTAAATTTATACTGCTTATCACCGACAGCAAACGCTGTCTTCTCTCGGTCATTTTGTTTAATCGCCAACTGCTATTAACCAGATCTCAAGTCCAGTACCGTAAATATCCTTGACTTCTGCAGTCTGTCAAAAATATCGGCGACTGACGACGCTGGGACGAAATGATTCAGCGAGATTTCCTCTAGCCTACTGAAGTCCACGCAAAAGCGGTTCTTTACGCTGGACTTCTTCACCAAAACAACTAGGAATTATGTGGACTATGGACCTCTTCGATGACACCGGAATTCAACATCTCCTGCACCTTCCTGGTCTCGGCCTCCAGGTGTATTGCTATTCTTCTGAGTCCATGTGGCCGATACGGCTGATGCGATAGCGGAATTGTGTGTTCAGTCACCAAACCCGCAAGAGCTAATTTCGTCCGTGAGTGGGATGTCGTACTTGCCTCCAAGCAGATGTAGGCTCGGACCTGTGTGCAAAGCGGCCACTACCGAGGACAACTGTTTGGATCCTTCTCTGTCAGCAAGTGGTAAAGCCCCTATTTTGTCAACAGCTTTTCTCGTTTCAGGTCGACAGCCTCGCTGACTTGGAGGAAGTCTGTCCCTCCAGGATTGTCTGTTTTGTTCCCCTTGACACGACCGAGAAATGGCTGGACGTCCGGCCGCTTATACCAACCACATGTTCCCCCAAACCATCTTTGCGTATATCATAGCCACTGACCGCTTTCATTAGCATGGAACACGTCTGAGTTCTCACTCCATCTCTGTGATTGATTAGTGAAACTGCGGTCCATGTATCAATCAAACACCTCAATGTTTCTCCGTTCACCTCTTCGCACCATTGTTCAGTGCTCCAAGTGTGCACTGTCTAACACGAGAACATTACCATTTTTTCGCTTTTATTTGGTACACAGGGGGTATTGAGCCTTGGTGCACATCGTTGCATCGTCCCTTCGATCGTGTCTTATGACGGGTAACCCCAAGTGCCGCTATGTATTTCTTTATCTGTTCCAGCCTCTCCTCTAGCCTATCCAGTCGCTCATGCTCTTTTTGGTCTTCCGTCCCCATTGCAGCGCTTGTCTCATGTTCAAACTTCCTTGACACTCGGGCAATGAACAATAATTTATCACGGATTTCCAAGTAAGCTCTTGGCACTTCCCGTAGGATGGTTGGGGTGAATACCACAAAATCAGTAGGTATGTGAGTCATCTACCGAGCGTCTGCTGAGTTAAATGCGTTGATAAATAACAGTATAAAATAAAATTAAATACAACGAAGTAGACTAACTTGGGGTGCAGTGATAATGTAAGGTAAAATGTGAGAAAACTAAAAATATGATCGCTCACTCATCGCGTCCTTTGGTCCATGTGGCACATAAACCCGGTAGAAGGTATGATTAATACAATCCACAGTAGCGCAGATTAGGTAACGAGGGGCGTGGCGATAAGAGCGATTTTTGTTAAAGTATCCAAAGAAGGGGGCGACAACTGAGTTTGGGAGAGTTCCAGGGTTTACAATCTCAAAGAGAAATGTAACTCCATCGACACTGTATTGTTCAGTCAGTTTCAGGCAGTCACCTCTGAGCTTGGTATGGTGGCTAAGTTTCAGATAATTCGGACATACGTGGTTGATACACTAAGATCTGATCACCGCCTAGGCTTCGCTGAAAACTCCCAGTAACTTCAGTTTTTGCTGATAAGAGTGATTGCGTAGGCCCCTTACATTCTTTGTTGTCTTTCGTTGTGACGCCTCTAAGTCACGCTTCAACCAAGTTTGCCAAGCTTGGATGACGTAGTTAAGGTGAGGACGCACGTAAGAAATTTGCATCATTGGGAAGATTGATGGACCAAATCACCCGAATGCACTACTCATCAGACCGACATGCTGATTGCCCCTTTTCGCGGCTGCCTCAGACTGTTTTGAACAATTGAGATCACTCTGTACGGGTACAGCAAGGTCACGTTCCTGGCAGCTGGTCTACAATCTGTGTACCCCAAGCAAATACGTGTAGTCATGTTTTTGGTGTAACTGAACAATGCGACATTTGTCTACACTGAATGGCAGGGCATTGTGAACTGATTAGTTCGAAATCGTGTTAAGATCGCACTGTAGCCCTTCGTGTTTGTCCGGTCCTCTGGTCGCTCGCCATATTTTGATATCATCTGCGAAGAATTGGAAATCGGAACCAATTGATCTCGCCATATCATTTATGAAAACTAAGAATAGACGAGGTCTTAACACTGAGCCTTGTGATAGACTGCACTCCACATCAATTGCATCGAACATTGATTCTCGGATTCTCACTTCCAACCAGCATTCGTGTATAAAATTGTCTATCCTACGCAGGATTTGGTTGCCAATGTCGTAATTCTGAAGTTTGTGAAAGGGAATTCGGTGCTCTAAGCGATCAAATGCTTTTTCGAAGTCCATGTAGATGACACCGACTCATGCTCCATCATCAACTGCTTCAGTCCAACTATTGCGTGCAATCCACAGGTTGAAGGGTGTCTGCGGTTTTGTCGGAAGCCATCTTGCTCCGGGGCTATTATGCTGTAGTTTTCCTTGTACTTTATCAGCGCATCTACGATGATTGATACCATAACTTTAGAAAGCACATGAAGCAGCGTTATCGGACGGTCATTGGTTAAGTCACTGCGACTACCTCCCTTGTGAATAAGAGTGATGACCCCTCGCTCCCATATTGCTGGGATTTTGTTCTCCTCTAAACATCGCTGATAACAAAGAACTAGTGATTCTGTTACCTCATTGGCTACTACTTGCAGAGCCTTCGGTCCAATGTTACTGACTCCAGGAGAACTATGGGTGCACAAGGATAACAACCTATTTCTTCAAAGTACCTTTGTGCTTCTCAGTTCGGCTGCACCCTTTCATACACAACGTGTCTGTTTAGGTTGATTTGTGCGCCATACCTTTTTCTTCCGCGACGACCA